GGATCCTTGTTAACGCACGCTGTCCCCACAGTGTGAACGTGGCATCGCTGACGCAGTCCGAAATTCGCGACATCATCCTGGGGATGGAGATCTCCGCTCCGTCCCAGCAGCGGCAGCAGATAGCGGAGATTGAGAAGCAGACTAAGGAGCAGTCACAGCTGACTGCAACGCAGACTCGCACGGTCAACAAGCATGGCGATGAGATCATCACCTCCACCACCAGCAACTATGAGACCCAGACCTTCTCATCCAAGACGGAGTGGAGGGTCAGGTACCGTGAAGGACAGAAAGACGCGGGAGGGCCTCGGCACTGCCGGGGCTGAGACATGACGCTTGCTCTTTGTAGGGCCATCTCCGCTGCCAACCTGCACCTAAGGACCAATCACATCTATGTCTCGTCTGATGACATCAAGGAGACTGGGTACACCTACATCCTTCCCAAGAATGTGCTGAAGAAGTTCATCTGCATATCTGACCTCCGGGCCCAGGTAAGTAAACGTGCCCAGTGAGGCCATGGTGTGTGTTCACCATGTTATGTGCCTGAAATTCAGGGACCTTAGATTTCCTGGAATTTGAGATGCTGTTTCAAGATTTCATGGACAGTTAACTACAGAAGATAGACAAAACAATAAGGAGGGTTTTGGCCTCCACAGAATACCAAGAGATAAAGTAAGAGGATGTAGCATTGGCTTAGAAGTGACTGAGGCCGGCGCCGCGGCTCACTAGGCTAATCCTCCGCCTAGCGGCGCCGGCACACCGGGTTCTAGTCCTGGTCAGGGCGCCGGATTCTGTCCCGGTTGCCCTTCTTCCAGGCCAGCTCTCTGCTGTGGCCCGGGAAGGCAGTGGAGGATGGCCCAAGTGCTTGGGCCCTGCACCCCATGGGAGACCAGGATAAGCACCTGGCTCCTGCCTTCGGATCAGCGCAGTGCGCCGGCCGCAGCGGCCATTGGAGGGTGAACCAGTGGCAAAGGAAGACCTTTCTCTCTCTCTCTCTCTCTCTCACTGTCCACTCTGCTTGTTAAAAAAAAAAAAAAGGAAGTGATTACAAAGAATAGCATAAAGTCATAAAGTGACAGATTGGTTCGTATGAATATAATAAATATGGTATATCAGATCTAGGAAACAGCAAGTAGTCTCTAGGTAAAGTAAAAGTGTGAATGTAAAGTATTAAACCATGGAGTATTAGAAGAAAATAGTATTACCTTCATGGTGTTATAGCACTTTAAAAAAAAAAATTCATTTATTTATTTGAAAGGCTGCTGGTTCATTCCCTACATGGGCACAATGGCTGGAGCTGGGCCAGTCCAAAGCCAGGCATCCCAGATCAGAGTGCTGGTTCAAATCTGGGCTACTCTGAAATTTTTTTTTTTTTTTAAGATTTATTTATTTATTTGAAAGAGTTACACAGAGAGAGAAGGAGAGGCACAGAGAGAGAGAATCTTCCATCCACCGGTTCACTTCCCAATTGGCTGCAACAGCTGGAGCTGCGCCCATCCAGAGCCAGGAGCTTCTTCTAGTCTCCCACATGGGTGCAGGGGCCCAAAGACTTGGGTCATCTTCTACTACTTTCCCAGGCCATAGCAGAGAGCTGGACCAGAAGTGGAGCAGCTGGGACTTGAACCAGCACCCATATGGGATACCGGCATTGCAGGTAGCAGCTTAAGCCGCTACACCACAGCGCCAGCCCCGGCTACTCTGCTTCTGATCCAGCTTCCTGCTAATGTGCCTGGGAAGGCAGCAGAACATGGCTGGCCCAAGTACTTGGGTCCCTGCCACCCATGTAGGAAATGAAGTTCTTGGTTCCTGGTTTTGTCTAACCCAGACCTGGCATTTGCAGACATTGAACCAATGGATGGAAAAATCAATAAATTTCTCTCCCTCCCCCGCACCCCTTCTCTCTGTTGCTCTGAATTTCATGTAAGTAAATAGATAAATAAATCTCTATTTTAAAAAAGAAAACACAAAACTACAGTTTACAGCTTGTTTGTGTCGGAGGATAATATGCTGGGGCCAGTGTTGTGACACACAGGTTAAGTAAGTGCAGCTTGCAGTGCCAGCCTCCCATATCAAAGTGCCGGTGTGAGTCCTGAGTGCTCTGCTTCAGGGCCAGCTCACTGCTGATGTGCTTGGGAAAACAGCAGAAGATGGTCCAGGTTCTTAGGCCATCCACAGGGGGAGCCCCAGAAGGAGTTCCAGGCTGCTGCTTCGGCCTGTCCCAGCCCCAGCCGACACAGCCATTTGGGGAATGAACCAACAGATGCATCTTCCATCTCTGTCTCTCCCTTTTTCTGTCACTCTGCCTTTTCAAATAAATAAATCCTTTTTTTTTTAAAGTGATATATTAAAAATGAGAAGAAATTATTTCTGTTTCTCTGAGAGACAGTGGATTGATGACTAGAATAGGGAGTTGTTAGAGGTTGATTTTTAAGAAGATAACTAGAAGATGTGCAAAGAATATGAAAAGGTAGTTCAGAAAAGGAATTGCAAATGATAAGTACAAGGATATTTCAAAAAGTTTGTGGAAAATTGAATTAAAAATAAGTTCATTTTGGCGCCGACATTGTGGTGTAGTGGGTAAAGCCACCACCTGCAACACCGGCATCCTGTATGGCTGCCAGTTTGTGTGCTGGCTGCTCCACTTCCAATCCAGCTCCCTGCTAATGCACCTGGGAAAGCAGCAGACTATGACTCAAGTGCTTTGGGCCCCTGCACCTCTGGGAGACCCAGAGGAAGCTCCTGGCTCTTGGCTTTGGCCTGGCCCAACCCTGGCCATCTGGGGACTGAACCAATGAATGGAATATCTTTCCCTCTCTGTAACTCTGCCTTTCAAATAAATATTTTTAAAAAATAAAAATTAATTTTGGTGCAAGAAAATTTGAAATCTGTCCATAGTTTTTTCATAATATACATTTTCGATGAACTTTTTGAAGACCCCCTCTCCTATATCAGGAACATTTATATAAAACTCAGTTTTGTAGCCAGCTCGTTGGCACATTTGAAGAGTGCCTTTGTGGGTGAGTTTTAGGAAGTCAGTCCTCTTCCCTTGTTGAGGGCCATGTGCAGAGCAGAGTAGCACCTGGTGCTGGCTCTCCAGGTGTGCTGTGAGAACGCCCAGAGCTGCGTGCGCGTGCGCCTTCACTTACGGAAACGGCTCTCACCTGCGGAGCACGAGGTCATTCTGAAGCAGGAGGTTCTGCCCCCGTGTTGAGAAACTGCTTGTTCTTGTGGAAAGGGAAGACGATACGGGCTGCCAGTCCGGAACCTGAAATGGCACTGAGAGTAGTTTTGGTTCCTGACCCCCTTATCTCCAGATTGCAGGATACCTGTATGGGGTGAGCCCACCGGATAACCCCCAGGTGAAGGAAATCCGCTGCATCGTGATGGTACCGCAGTGGGGCACCCACCAGACGGTGCACCTGCCTGGCCAGCTGCCCCAGCACGAGTACCTCAAGGTGCGTGGTGGGGACAGAGCTTGGGACTGGGAGAACTGGGGCTTTGTGTTAGCGAGGTAGGGGCGGGGGGGGGGGGGGAAGCATGGTCCTCCCAGGGCTGGGATTCTCTCTGCAGATGGGGTTCTCAACAGATCTGTGCTGCTCTTGACCTGTAGGAGATGGAACCCTTAGGTTGGATCCACACTCAGCCCAATGAGTCCCCCCAGCTGTCACCCCAGGATGTCACCACCCATGCTAAGATCATGGCTGACAACCCGTCCTGGGATGGTGAGAAGACTATTATCATCACCTGCAGGTGTGCTTGGGCCCCCTGAAGGCGGGGCGGGCTTTGTAGATGGGGCCCACAAGAGTGGCCTGAGCTCACTCTGTCCTCGCCCCACCAGCTTCACACCAGGCTCCTGCACGCTGACAGCCTACAAGCTGACCCCCAGTGGGTACGAGTGGGGCCGCCAGAACACAGACAAGGGCAACAACCCCAAGGGTTACCTACCCTCGCACTACGAGAGGGTCCAGATGCTGCTGTCGGACCGCTTCCTCGGCTTCTTTATGGTCCCTGCTCAGTCCTCGTGGAACTACAACTTTATGGGTACGTGGTCTGTGTGTGAAAGTACAGGGAGCACCGGGAAGCCGGGATGGGGCTGAGGACAAGGTTAGGCCCTTGACACCCGGGGCTTCACTCTGGCCTGGCAGTGGTCCGGAGGCCCAGCTGGGTGAGGCAGGTGACCTGTGTTAACAGGATGTTTTCCTCTCCCCTAAGGTGTTCGGCATGACCCCAACATGAAGTATGAGCTGCAGCTGGCAAACCCCAAAGAGTTCTACCACGAGGTGCACCGGCCCTCGCACTTCCTCAACTTTGCCCTCCTGCAGGAGGGCGAGGTCTACTCTGCCGACCGCGAGGACCTCTACGCCTAGTTGTCAGCTGCTCCTCTTCGGAATCCGCAGAGGCCCAGTGGAGCCTCTCCGCCCCAGACAAGCTGGTGATATTCAGCAGCTTGGCCCCCTTTCCCCGTACCTTGTGCTTGATTGTGGTGTTGGCCTCCTGATGGCTTGTAACCCTGAACAAAATAATAATAAATTTTGTATAAATAGGAGTTTGGGACTTTTTTCCCCTGCCCCAGAGCTCCAGTTGTGGGTGTGGTTAGGGCTGGATGCTGCCCTGGGGAAGTTGTTAAATGCCTGGCTTCTGGCACTGGGGCTAGGCTACCCCTAAACTGGACCTGAAGTGGGGTTGAGCTTCCACGTCCCCACTGCATCCGCCGAATTAGCTTGTTTCCCTCCATGGTGCTTGCAAGCCTTCCCCCCTTCTCAACGTCTCTTGGAGCCGTGTCGGGTTAGGAGCTGTTCTCTGCGGCTGTAGTGCCCAGCCTAGCCCCCTCCTAAGCTTTGTTTGCCAGTCCTGGTTGGGGATCACACAGGCCCTGGCTGCTGGCAGAGGGCTGTTTGTTGAGTGGGGTTCAGTGACTGGCCTCTCACCTCTTGCCTGGAGGCCAAATCTGCCCCATGACTGCGGCCAGGGGTGGAGCTTGGACTGGGTGCTGTGGGGAGGGTTGACTGGAGTGGCCACTTAGAGCCCTGGGCCTCAGCTCCTGGACGCCTGGCTGGAAGTTGGCTGTCCTGTTTCCTGTGACCTTGAAGGTTGAACGGGAGAGGGCCCAGGGGCCCTAGCACGGTCTTCCCCAGCCTTTTCCCCTGAATCGCTCCTCCCTTCTCTCTTCTACCCCGCCCCTTTCTACCCTAAACTGCTTCTTGGGCCGCAACTGTTTGGCTTTTTCCTCTTCCCAGCTTGGGGGCGGGCGGGGGAGAGCGAATAGCCACCTGGGCCTTCCGGGGACATGGAGCCCAGGAGGGTGGCGCCAGGGGCACAAGGCTGGGGGCCTCGAGCGGCGGCGGGGTCGGGGACGGCCGCGGAGCTCGTGTACCATCTAGCGGGGGCTCTGGGCACTGAGCTGCAAGAGCTGGCGCGCCGGTTTGGGCCGGAGGCGGCGGCCGGACTGGTGCCACTCGTAGTGCGAGCGCTGGAACTTCTGGAAAAGGCTGCCGTGGGGCCTGCGCCGGACTCGGTGAGCCCCTGACCCCGCCCCTCGCCGCCAGTGGGGCTGGCGGGGCCCTAACCCCGAGTCCCGGGCCTCCCAGCTGCAGGTGTCCGCGCAGCAGGCCGAGCTGGAGCTGCGGCGGCTGCGGGAGGAGAATGCGCTGCTCCGCAGGGAGCTGCGCTCTGGGCCACAGGGTGAGTGCAGGCTCGGGCGGGCTGCGGGCGGGCTCGGGCGCCGACCACCGCTCAGGAGGCTCCTTCCTCAGAGGAGCGCGCGCTGCTGCAGCAGCTCCAGGAGGTGACGGACAGACAGCGGGACGAGCTCCGGGCGCACCACCGCGACCTGCGGCAGCGCAGCCAAGAGACTGAGGCGGTAGGGACCGGGCGGCGGGTGGGGGGCGGGGCTCTCGCCCCCCTCCCCGCGCCCGCTCACCGGCCCCGCCTCTGGCTCCGCCCCCAGTTGCAGGAGCAGCTGCAACGCCTCCTGCTGGTGAACGCCGAGTTGCGGCACAAGCTGGCCGCGGTGCAGACCCAGCTTCGGGCCGCCCAGGACCGGGAGAGGGAGCGTGAGGTGCCGCACCGAGACGCCCCGGAACTGGCAAAGGAGCGGGAACAGGGCCAGGCCGGAGAGCCCGGGTGTGAGCAGAGGCGGGAACCCGAGCGGGCGAGCCCGGACAGTCCGGTGAGTGCCGGAGGGAGCCAGCAACCCAAGCCGGCACTCAGAGCGTCTGGCCCCGTGTGGGTGCACTGGCAAGCTTTGCTGTGCTGCGCAGGTCGGCCGAGAAGCCGGACTGTGGCACACAGGGGCTTGCACCTGCAGCCGGGCCCGGCCCCACTTTCAGCCTGAGAGCTGCTGTCACCTATTGTAGCACCGTTGTCCCCCAGAACTCCTTGCCTGTCCCTTCCTCTGGCATTCCTGCGATGGCCCTGGGCCCATGGGAGAGCTAGCAGGGCCTCCAGACCACGCTTCTTCCGCAGGCCGCTGCCCCACGGCAGCCAGAGCGCCCCCCGGAGGCAGGGCAGTGCGGCTTCAGCAGGCAGGAGCTTGAGCAGATCCTTCAGGAGCGCAATGAGCTCAAAGCCAAGGTGTTCCTGCTCAAGGAGGAGCTGGCCTACTTCCAGCGGTGAGGGCCCTGCCCGTGTCTGCTCCTGGCCTCGGGTCACCCCCACCTCATTCCCGTATTCACTGACAAACCCCAGCAACCTGGCCAGACCCTGTACCAACACAGCCCCTGCCCTCTGGGGACTCCATCCCAGCAGGGGAAGGGGCGGTACCAAGGTCACAGCAGCTGTGCCAGGAGGGGTGCCACACAGGCTAAGGCCTGGGGGGTGTTGCGGGCTCCCCCAGGGAACAGGCAGCTCGCACGGGCCCTCGGGGCGAGGCCCGCTGCTGGCAGCCCCACCACGTTCTGCCTGCCCCCGTCCTGTAGGGAGCTGCTCGCAGACCACCGGGTCCCCGGGCTGCTGCTTGAAGCCATGAAGGTGGCTGTCAGGAAGCAGCGGAAGAAGATCAAGGCCAAGATGTTGGGGACACCAGAGGAAGCAGAGAGCAGGTGTGTCCCCGCGACCCAGCCTACTGACCTAGCAGACCCGGTCTGCTGACCTGGCCTGGCCGCCCCCGAGCCTGCCCTCCAGCCTGCACCCTTCTCTCTGGACTCCACCAGTGCTGCCTGCACGCCTTGCAGAAGGCACCTGCACACTGCTTTGGCTGGGTCTGTCTGTTTAGATTTATTTGTTTATTTGAAAGTCAGAGTTACAGAGAGAGGTAGAGCCAGAGAGAGAGAGAGAGAGAGAGAGGTCTTCCATCTGCTGGTTCAGCCAGGCTGGTCCAAAGCCAGGAGCTTCCTCTGGGTCTCCTTTGTGGGTGCAGGAGCCCAAGCACTTGGGCCATCCTCCACTGCTTTCCCAGCCCCACTAGCAGGGACCTGGATCTGAAATGGAGCAGCCGGGCCTCAAACCAGAGCCCGTAGGGGATGCTGGTGCTGCCGGTGGGGGCTTTACCCACTACGCCACAGCGTTGGCCCTCTGGGTCTATTTGTTCTTAGAGGAGTGAGACTCTCGCTGCTGCTTTATCAGGGCCCCGCCGTGTGTCCGCATCTTGTGGACACCCTCATCCCTTGTCGGGAGTGCCTGGCTGTCAGTCCCTGCTCCTCTGCTTTCTGATCCAGCTTCCCACTAATGCACTGGGAGGCAGCAGGTGACAGTTCAAGCGATTGGGTCCCCGCCACCCAGGTGGGAGACCTGGATTAAGTTCTCGGCCCCCAGCTTTGGCCTGCTGCAAGTCAGCTAATAGAAGGCAGATCTCTCTGTCTCTTTGTCTCTCGACCTTTCAAATAAAAATAAAAAAGAGAGGCCTTGTGTCTCCCCAGGGTCACCAGGTCGCCAGCCCTGGGGGCGCTGTGGTCACTCAGTGCTGGCCCGCTGCTGCCCGGGCCCTTGATACATGGCCCTCTCCTCTCTCCCCCCTGTGTCAGTGAGGACGAGGACGGCTCCTGGCTCCTGCTCTCCGGCGATAAGGAAGAGCAGCCTGCACCCGCTGAGTCCAGAGTCCAGAGTTTGTATGTTGGGGAGTGAAGGAGGGGCTTCGGGTTTTCTGTGCCCCTCCCTGCCCCGCGTGCCCTCCCCCCGCTGCCCCACCATCTGTGCCGTCCCGGCATCCATCTGAAGTCCTTTTCTCTTCGCTCCTTGCTCTCAGCCCCAATCCTTGACTCTCTGGCCTCCCGGCTCAAAGAACCTCTTGGCTCTCCCTCAGCTTTGGCCTGTGGTACCGGGATAAAGCCGAGACCCCCACACCTGAGCCCAGCAGCACTGGAGAAGAAGGGGCCCCTCAGCAACCCCACGTGGAGCCTCTGGGGGGCCCTCAGCCCCCACCCCCCGACCAGCCCTGCTCTGCTCTGCGGCAGCCGCTCTGACCTGGGCCTCAGCCCACCTGGAGGCCTGGCTTTGGGGCCTGGCTGGGGCGGATGTGTGATGGCCCGTGAGACAGCTTCCTCCTTCGCAGCCTGTCTGGAACTCTTCCCTGATCCCGGCCTGCACCGGGGATTCTCCACCTGCCTCCACCCCTCCACCTCTGCACTGAGCTTCCAGAGCAACGGGGAAAAGTGCTTCCTCTCCGGTGCCTGCGCGGCCACCCCTGCAATAGAGAGAACTGTCTTCCTTCCTCCCAGGGAGTTTCCCAGAGGGCCTGAGCCAATGGAATAAAGCCCTACCATCCGGAAATGGCTCCTGTCTGTGTGTCAGCGGCCCGCCGCCCTCCCAGCCGCCGGCAGCAGAGGCAGGCCGACATTCCGCCCGGGGGCTCTTTGGCCAGTGCCTGGGTGGGGACCTTGCCTGGGGAGCGTGGCCTAATGGGAAGCCCTGGCTCCCACCGCAGCCCTACCCTTTCGCCTCTGCCCCATGCCCCGGGACCCGTGGCTTCTGGCCCCCTCTAGATGGAGACCAGCCCCAGAAGCCCCCCGGGGCCCTCCCCACCCGCCTTCCTTTCAGGGCTGAGACGCGGGGCTTTCCCCAGACGCCCGGCCGCCCTCCCTGGGAGGTGCCTCGTGGCAGCCTACCCAGCCGGCCTGGTTTCCTCAGGAAAAGCCTTGGGAGGAAGCGGGGCGGGGGGGGGGGTTGGGAGCTGTGGGGGCCAGATTAACCGGAGTCCTCCCACTCCACTGGCCGCCATGGGGCTCGGGCTGCTGTTCCTACTGCTGCTGCTCTGGCCCTGGGGACCCCAGGGCTCCCCGCTGGACCCCGGTGGGCAGCACGTCTGTGTGGGCAGCAGGTGGGTGTGACGGGACAGGAGGGGGGAGGCGGCTGAGCTGGTGTTGAGGCATTTGGGGAAGGAGACAGGGAGGAGGTTAGGGGCTGATGAGAGAGGGTTGGGGGGCAGCCTGGTGGGTGGCAGGAAAAACAAGGGAGGAGGTGGGGGACATGAGTACTGTGACGTTCCGTTAGGCTGCCCTGGGGGACTGGGGCCGCCTGCCACACCTCGGCCAGGGACAGTGATCTTTGTGGGGCCAGGCTGCCTCTGCTGACCCCTCTCTGATCCACAGCCCCTCTGAGCTCCAGTGCTGCCCAGGCTGGAGGCAAAAGGATCACGAATGCACCATCCGTGAGTAGCAGAGGAGGGAGCTCCCTTCCTGCCCTCCTGGGGCCGCTTTCCACACCTGAGCCCTAGAACCGGGGTCCGTCTTGGGACGTGCGCCTCTGGCCTCACCAGGGTGACTCTTGGGGGGCACAGGGCGCTGGGAGCCAGCGAGAGGGGCGGGCGGAGGTCCCCTGGTGGTGAGTGCTCCAGTCGTGGTGACCTGGGTGGGGTATTTTTCAGCCATCTGCGAGGGGCCGGATGCCTGCAGGGAAGGCGAGGTATGCGTGAAGCCAGGCCTGTGTCGCTGCCCGCCGGGATTCTTCGGGGCCCAGTGCAGCTCCCGTGAGTCTCAACTGCGTGGTGAAGCTGCGGGGCAGAGCTGGGGCGGGGCTTGGGGCGGCAAAGCAGGCAGAAACACAGTCTCTGAAGAGCTCCCCTGAGGAAATTGAGGCCAGGGATAGGAAGTGACATGCTCCTGGGAGACGCCCTGCGTCGTCTCCGAAGCCCCACCCACCCGGGCCCTTCACGGTCTGGGAAGATGTGCTGTGATCTCGCCTTGCAAAGTGGATGCCTTCCCAGCCCCACTACCTCACCACCCCAGCCCCGGGCTGGGCTGCCACCCCGCCCCTCTTTGGCAGAAAGCGGGGATAAGAACGGGGTTCCTGAGTAGGACAGCCCGAGCACCTGCACCAGGGATGTCTGAGTTGGAAGGGGACCCAGTGGGCAATGGGGCTTCCTCTGTCATCTTGGTGGGCCATAGCCAGGCCTGCACTCAGAGTGACAGCCTCATTCACCTGTAGCCCAGGGAAGGAGGAGGGGAAATGAATGAAGCCCTAGCTACTTCTGGGTGTACCTAGGACTCAAGTGTTCTGGAATGTGAACTGGGAGGCTGGGCCACTGGGGGTTTTTGTAGTTCAGAGCCTGGGGCAGGAAATGAACTGTGCCCCAGAAGCATCTGCTGCTACATGTTCCAAGGGCCTGTTCCCCATGGTTAGAGGGCGAGCCTGGCTCCCCTCTGCCTTAGATAAGGTCCTGCCCAGCCTGAGCCCACTGACTCCTCTGTCCCCGCCTCCTGCAGGCTGCCCGGGCCAGTACTGGGGCCCCGACTGCCGTGAGAGCTGTCCCTGCCATCCACACGGCCAGTGCGAGCCAGCCACCGGTGTGTGCCAGTGCCAAGCTGACCGCTGGGGTGCCCGCTGCGAGTTCCCATGCACCTGCGGTGCCCACGGGCACTGTGACCCCGCCACAGGCGAATGCCGCTGTGACCCCGGCTGGTGGTCATCCACGTGCCGCCGCCCGTGCCAGTGCAACCTGGCGGCGGCGCGCTGCGAGCCAGCCACGGGCGCCTGCCTGTGTGAATCGGGCTGGTGGGGCCACCGCTGCAGTTTCCGCTGCGCATGTCACGACTCACCCTGCGCGCAGGAGACTGGTCGCTGCACCTGCCGGCCAGGCTGGTGGGGCCCCGAGTGCCGGCAGCGGTGCGAGTGCGTGCGCGGCCGCTGCAGCGCTGTCTCGGGCAGGTGCACCTGCCCACCCGGCTTCCGCGGCGTGCGCTGTGAACTGCCCTGTCCCTCCGGCAGCTATGGGGCTCAGTGCCGTGACAGGTGAGTGGGCTGGGAGGGGTGCCGGGGAAGGCGAGCAGGCGAAGGAACGGGGAGAGGGAAGGGGAGGTTGAGGAGGAGTTCCAGAGAGGCAGTGGGAAGGGAAGAGAGAGCCAAGAATGCGGTGGGAAGGTCCGGAGAAGGCGCAGGGGCACAGTGCTCTCCTAGAGGACATGCAAGGCATGAATGAAAGAGGGATAAATTCCCCAAGGCCCCTCGGTCCAGCCCCACTCACCCCTTCCATCTGGTTGTGGTCAAACAAAACGCTAGCACCGTACTAGCAAGCCAGAATTGGAAGGAATCACATGTGGCCAGAGGATGGCGCTGTCCCCTTACGACTCAGTGGCTTTCAGCCTGAACGTACCTGGGGGCTCCCAAAAGCCCACGGAAAATGGAACAAAAAGACGATGCGAGTTGCGAGTTCGCAGTGAACTGCTTGGAGCCCTTGGTACACGCCACACATTTATTTCACACGACTGAAAAGTCTAGCCAGACAGTACATACGTGCCTTACCGCGGACATGTATGGAGGCCTCCCGGTACGTCTGCCAATCCTTGTATAACATGGTGTGGTATATAATCCGTGTAATCCTCTGCATACCAGAAACCACCTCTAGATTACTGATAGAGCTAACACAAGGGAAGGCTATGGAAATAGTTATTACTCTGTGTTGTTTAGGGGAATGGTGACAGGAAAAAAATAACCTGTACACGTCCAGTACAGGTGCAATTTTTAAAAAAAGATTTATTTATTTGAAAGAGTAACAGAGGAGGAGAGACAGAGAGAGATGGCAGATCTCTCTCTCTCTGCCTCTCTGTAACTGTGCCTTTAAAATAAGTAAATACATCTTAAAAAAAAAGTCAATGGGAAATTAAGGTAAACTTGAAAAGTCAGTGGTGAAAACACACAGCTGACGTGTTATGTTCACGCATTTTCATGTTGTGGGCTAGAAGATGAACTACGGAGTCCGCTCGCACGGCATGTCAGGGACAGCACAGTGCCGGGGTGGGGGGTGAAGCTGGGAGGGAGGAGCACAGGGCAGCGTGCAGGGAGGCTGGCACAGGGGAGGGGCTGGAAGGAGAGCGATGCGATCCGGAGGGGCCTGCCCCCCCCAATCCTGAGGGCCCTGCCCCCCCTGCAATCCTGAGGGCACTGCACCCCCCCCACCCGGCGTTCCTGGTCCTGCAGCAGGGGAGACCTGGGTGTGCGGTGCTCCGCCCAGCCCCCCACAGGGCTCCTATGAACGCCTTCTCTCCCCAGCTGTGGCCACTGCAAGCAGAACAAGCCCTGCTCTCCAGACACAGGCAGCTGCGAGTCCTGCGAGCCGGGCTGGAACGGGACCCAGTGCCGCCAGCCCTGCCCCCCGGGCACCTTTGGGGAGGGCTGCAGGCAGCAGTGTCCCCGCTGCCGGCGTGGGGAGGCCTGTCAGCCAGACAGCGGACACTGCGCACACTGTGACCCCGGCTGGCTGGGGCCCAGGTGAGAGGCTGCCTCGTGGGGTTGGGCGGGGGGCGTGCGCCTCAGCTGTGGCCTCTGGGAGAGGGTCTCCTCCCCTGGCACATTCACCCAGGCCACTGGGGTTGAGGAGAGATGGGAGCTGGGGTGCCCTGGGCAAGATTCCCTCCCAGCTCCCCCTGCTCCTCCGGGAGCCTGTGTCCTGGCACCTCCTGGGGTCAGCCCCAGGCTCAAGGCCCTGTTTGTACCTAAGTGTCGTTGCTGCAGAGTGACCACTGGTCACTTCCCTAAGGCAGCCTGGCCGCCCTGCCCTGCTGTTCTGAGTCTTGCCTCCCCACCAGGTGTGAAGACCCCTGCCCGGTTGGCACCTTTGGGAAGGACTGCAGCTCTGTCTGTCCCAGCTGTGTCCAGGGAACCTGTGATGCTGTCACAGGGGAGTGTGTCTGCAGTGCTGGCTTCTGGGGGCCCAGGTGAGGCCTGGGCCCTGGGTGTAGGAGAGTCCCGCATCTCCCAGACGTCCCAGGGCTGCTCCACCTCCCCTGTGCCCTCCCAGTGTCCACCTCCTAAGAGAGAGCTGTTCCTGCTACATGGGGGCTGCAAAGCCTGGGTTCCCTCCCTGGGTGGGAGCTGATGAGAGGCAGGGCAGGCGTCAGACCCCCTGTCCTGTCCCTAAGGTCCTGGGGTAGGGGAGCCACCAGTGTCTCTGGCAGATTTTCTACCCACAGGACAGTGTCAGAGGGAAGGGACCTCACTTTACAGACAGGACTGAACCTGGCTCAGCCCTCCAGACCATGAGGGCATCTCCTGGGGGTGCCACTGGCATCTTGTCAATCTCCCATTACTCCCGGCAGGCGTGGCGATGCGGGCAGTCAGGGGTGGCCAGGGCCTCACTGGGCGCTGGGTGTTCTCTTGGAAGGTGGCCTGGGGGACCGAGAGTTCTCAGCACGTGGCTCCGAGGTCGGAGCGGTCTCCTCGGGCATCGTCTAGGGAAGTCCGCCCGGGGCTGCGCCGGAATGCACCTTGCCCTCTCCCCACCCAGCTCCATCCTCCCCCAGCCTTCAGCCGGCCTCCTTGTTCCCCTGCAGCTGCAACGTTTCCTGCCCATCTGGCTTCCATGGAAACAACTGTTCCCTTCTCTGCGAATGCCCAGAGGGACCCTGCCACCCTGTTTCTGGGGCCTGCCAGCCGGGTAAGGCCGAGAGCAGGTGCAGGGCATGGTGATCAGGGATGGTCTGGCCCTTTCCTTGGGCCCCACCCAGGAGCCATCCATTTCAGAGACAGTCCCTGTGTCTGACATCTGGATGCTTTGGGGTCCCTGGAAGACGTGGCTAGAGCCAGGAAATGAGCAGGCAGGGTGGACGCTGGTGTGACAGGAGAATGGGGGACAAGAGCTTGTGGGCCAGAAGGAGGGGACAGGGCACCAGAGAGGCTGCCTGGAGGCTGGGGGTGGGGGGTTCCCGGGGGGCAGCTGCTCAGAGCTGCAGATGAGCCGCATGGCTCTGTCTCCCGCTCCCCAGGCCCTCCCGGTCAGGATGCGGCCCTCATCGCCGGCATCCTCGTGCCCCTGCTGCTACTCCTCCTGGGCATCGCTTGCTGTGCCTGCTGCTGCTGGGCTGCCCGGGGGGGCCCCAAGGACAGGTGAGTACTGGCCTGGCCCTGCCCCAGCCCCCGGCTCGGGAGGGTGCAAGATCTCTTCTCTCTCTCTGTCACTCCGCCTTTCAAGTAGATTTTTTAAAATACCTAGTGCACTGGGGGTCCGCCTGGGAAATTCCTCACAAGCAGAGCTTCATCCCTTGCGGACCCTCTTCACACCCCGCGGCTCCGGGTTAAGCCATTTGGGCACCAGTTTAAGTCCTGGCAGCCGCACTTCCCATCCAGCTCCCTGGGAAAGCTGCAGCAGATGGCCCAAGTCCTAGGGCCCCTGCACCATGTGGGAGGCCTGGATGAAGCTCCTGGCCTTGGCCTGGCCCAGCTCTGGCCATTGCAGCCATCCAGGGAGTGAACTAGCAGATGGAAGATCTCTCTCTCTCTCTCTCTCTCTCTCTCTCTCTTCCTCTCTTTCTCTCTTTCTCTCTTTCTCTCTCCTTCCTTCCCTCCCTCCCTCCTTCCTTCCCTCTCTGTAACTCCGCCTGTCAAATAAATAAATAAATCTTAAAAAAACGAAAAACGAAGCCCCTGCCCGGCTTTCTGGGCTCTCTGTCCAGTGCTCTCCTGTTGGCTTCTGCACTTGCCCTTGAGCACAGTACTCACAGATGAGCCCTCCCTACCGCTGCCTAGAGCCTAGGGGTGGGGAAGAAGCCCTCCTGGGGGCACAGGGATGGAGAGGAGCGGGGAGGGACCCGGGCAGGCTTCCTGGAGGAAGTGTTACTCCACAGGAGAACTTGGGCGCGCTGTGATGATAACCACAAAGCTGCATTTTGGGGACCCCCATGAGGTGCCTGGCACTGAATGGGGTCCCACAAAAAGCTCTGATGGACAAGACCGTGGCCCCCATTTTTACAGGTGAGGAAGCTGACGCTCGGCCTGAGCTAGAGTTTTAGAGCCACATCACTCTCCCTGATTCACATCTTGAGCCAATAGTTAGGATTTTATTCTGGCTCCACAGGGAGCCATTCATAGGCCTGTGGTGGCCCTGTCGCACCCCACCAAGGAGATACAGGTCTTTTTTTTTTTTTTAATATTTATTTATTTATTCACTTGAAAGATGGAGTTACAGAGAGAGGGCCAGTCCAAAGCCAGGAGCCAGGAGCATCTTCCAACCTCCCCTTGGGTGCAGGGGCCCAAGGACTTGGGCCATCTTCTGTTGCTTTCCCAGGCCATTAGCAGGGAGCTAGATTGGAAGTGGAGCAGCTGGGTCTTGAACCAGTGCCTCTACAGGATGCTGGTGCTGCAGGTGGCAGCTTAACCCGCTGCAGCACAGCACCGGCCTGGCAACACAGGTCTTACGGCCTGTCCGCCTCCCCACCCTGCCCCCTCAGGCCAGCACAAGACGGAGCCGCCCTGTCTCGGATGAAGCTGCAGGTCTGGGAGGCACTGACCAGCCTGGGCTCCGTGCTGCCTTGTGGCTCCTTCAGCAGTCATAAGCTACCCTGGGTGACAGGTGAGTGGGCACGGAGGTGGGGCCCGGGGTGGGACAAGGCTTCCCATCAGGCTGTGCGCCTGACCTGGAGCTCTGACAGTCTCGCACCACGACCCGGAGACCCCCTTCAACCACAGCTTCATTGAGCCACCCTCCGCCGGCTGGGCCTCCGACGACTCCTTCTCTTCTGATTCTGAGTCCGGCGAGGAGGATGAGGGTCCTGCCTACTGCGTGCCACCCCAAGAAGGTAGCCCCTGAGCAGCCCTGCCCGCTCCAACCCATCCCTGGTTCCTTTAGCAAATTGTCACCGAGTGCCCATCCTGTGCCAGGCATGGCTTCTGACCCAAGCAGACAAGTGCAGTAGGCAGCGGTGGTGCAGGTTGGCAATAGTCGGAGCCGTACAAGCAGGGGCTCACCTCCAGCCACGTCAGGGGTGAAGGGGTGGGGACGATGGCTGGGTTGGGGCTGTCAGAGCTGTGTCTGGCCAATCAGTGGGAGTTAGCCAAGGGCAAGTAGGGAGAAGTAGCAATGGTGTTTCAGAGAGGCAACGGCTGTGTGGCGTTGGAGTTGGTGTGGCTGGAGCGCGGCAGTTGGTCAGAGCCGGGAGGGAGGAGCAGAGGCAGGAGCAGCAGCGGCGCCCTGATCCGGGCCTCCTTCCACTGCCCTCCACATCCTCGCTCTCTTCCCTGCCCCATTTTGCCTCCTGAAAATGCCAAGGTGCAGGTAGGGTGAGCTGGGGTGACCGGCCAGCTCCAGCCAGTCTGTTGTCTCCTCCGCCAGGGATGGTCCCAGTGGACCCATCAGAGTCATCAGAGCTGGGCGGGGGCCCCTTCCCGCCCCCCGAGGACACCTCCACGCCGTTCGCCATCCCACGTACCTCCAGCCTAGCGCGGGCCAAGCGGCCATCTGTCTCCTTCGCTGAAGGCACTAAGTTTGCATGTCAGAGTCGCCGAAGCTCAGGGGAGCTTCCCAGCCCACTTCGAAAGCCCAAGAGGCTCTCTCGAGGGGCCCAAGCAGGCCCCGAGGGCCAGGAGGCTGAGGAGTGCACAGGCCCAGGGCAAGCAGAAGCTGACGAGACCCCTCCCGCTGCTGCCACCCCGAGAGAGGCAGCCGCTGGCCGCCGCCGCCCCCCACTTGGTGGCCGAACAGTGGCTGAGCGTGTGGAAGCCATTGAGGGCAGTGTGCAGGAGAACTCGGGCCCTGTGACCACCATCTACATGCTGGCAGGGACGCCCCGGGGGGCCGAGGGCCCCGTCCGGTCTGTCCTCCGCCGTTTTGGTAGCTTCCAGAGAGGCCAGGCAGAGCCCAAGGTCAAGAGTGCCATCCCTAAGCCTCCACGGCGAGCCTTGAGTCGGAACAAGGGCAGCCCTGGACCTGGACCCACCTCTACTCCTGCTAGCCAGAGCCCCAAGAGTGGGCATGCTGGGGCCACAGAGGCAGCAGGAGTCAGGCCAGAGGAAGTGGCCAGGGGGCTGGCGGGTGGCCCCAAGAGCTCAGGGAGGGCCCAGGAGCTGGTGTCCAGGGCTGGGCCCCCAGAACAAGATCCCCAGATGCAGGCCGGAGAGGAAGGGCAGGGTGAGCCCCAGTATGAGAATGTTGCACCCATTTCTGGGCCACCAGAGCCCTGAGGACCTCAAATCGGCAGCGTGAGAAGATTCTGGATGCGCAGGGGCTATCAGAACTGCCCACGTGTCAGGCCGTGCTTCGTGATGAACAATAATCCAAGGCCCAGGCCAGAGCATGCGCACTGGGACAGGCCAGGGTGAGAGGCCCGCGGGCTCCGGGCCGGCCAGGTTCCCAGACGGCGCCTGCGCAGATGGCTCACAGGCCCGGGGCCGGGAGGCGGGAGAGTCTCCGACCCTGGGGTTTTTTGGGCTCTTGGCTTGAGCTCTGCCGGCAAAGAACTGTTGGTTCCTTCATTTGCGAAACTTTTTTTTTTTTTTTCCTGAAATGGGAGACAGCCTAAATGTCTGATAAGAAAAGATCAGCTAAACAACCAGGGCTCAGGATAGGTCACTCCACGGTCGTTGTGTGAGAATATTTAATATTGGAGAAGTGGGAGGGTGGGAACTCAGCCGTTAAGGGTGTGAAAAGTAATGAAAGCGAAAGCAGTTCAGTTCCAGCGTTTCCTTGCCATAAACTTTGTGTCTTTAGTTCTTAGTCTACGTGGTGAGAATGTTCCTTTTTTGTTATAGTTTGAGGTTGTTTTATGAACTCTGTTTTAAAAGGATCCATGTGCATGAAAGATGCAAGGGTTGGGTGCTGGTGCTGTGGCGCAGTGGGTTAAAGCCTCAGCCTGCAGCACCAGCATCCCATATGGGTGCCAGCTCGAGTCCTGGCTTCGGATCAGCTCAGCTCCGGCCGTTGTGGTCATCTGGGGAGCGAACCAACGGATGGAAGACACCCCCCGCCCCCCGTAACTCTCTTTCAAATAAATAAAATAAATCTTTAACAACAACAAAAAAAAGATTCAAGTGCATCAACTCATATATTTCTCTGGTAGGTGAGCCTGGGATGTTATTTATTTTCTTGAGCTTTTGTATAATTTGCAAATTTCTAAAGTGACCACTCTTTTTTTTTTTTAGCTTTTCTCATTAGATTGAATTTTTTTTAAAGTTACAAACAGCAATATTCTTTGTTAAAAATAAAAACTGGTAGCATTACAAACTTGCCTAAAGTAAGGCTGAGATCCGTCTTCGCCCCAGAGGCAGCCTGGGGAGTGAGAGGGGAGACTTAGCAAGTGTCTTCTGGTGCTGAGTTGTTGGCTCACGCGGTGGGTCACCGTGTTTCCTGCACAGGCCTCCGAGGCGGGAGAGCAGTGGAGGTGGCTGCCTTGCAGGGTTTTCTGTGCACAGGTAGGCACATGCTTCAGACAAGAATAGGGGAACATACCCTCCTGGGCTTGCTCTTGTTAACAATGTAACCTGGAGAGCTCTCCATGCCACCTCTCTGATAAAAATGTAACTACTTGGGACTTCATCTTGTGGAGCTAACGCAGGTGATTTAGAAAGTTGGGTTATTTCTAATCATTTGCTCTAATAAACAATGGTGAAGTATACAATTTTGTCCATATTTTTGTACTTATGCAAGTTTGATTTTTTTTTTCTTCTATAGAATAGATTTCTAGAACTTGGATTGTGAAGCTATGGGCTAGGAATAGTAGATATTTCTGTACTTATTTTAAGTTGCCCTCCAAAAAGGTTGTATAACTTTGTACTCACAAATCATGGAGTTATCCCTTTCTCTTGGTATCTTGGGGCGGTGTTTGGCATGGTCGTTAAGACGCCACTTGGAACACCGCATCCTACATGGCAGTGCCTGGGTTCAGATCCCGGCTCTGCCCCTGATTCCGCCCTCCTGTTGCAGTGGGGGTGATGAGTCCAGTGGCGGGTCCTCCCCACCACCTGAGTCCTGGCTGCTGACGTAGTCTGGCCCAACCCCAGTGTTACAGGCACTTGGAGAGTGAACCCGTGGATGAGAGATCTGTTTTTCTTTCAAATAAGAAAATTATTTTTTAAATGTCATTTCTGCAAATACCACTTGTAAAATGAGATTATTTTAGACAATAAAAATGTGTCATAGCTTCTTAAAAAGTTAAAATCTGTAGCCAACACTGTAGTGTGTGGGCTAAGCCTCCACTTGTGACACCGGCATCCCATATGGGAGCATGGGTTCTGGTCCTGGCTGTTCCACTTCTGATCCAGCTTCCTGGTAATGCACCTGTGAAGGCAGGGGATGATGGCCTAAGAACTTGGATCCTGCCACCCAGGTGATGGCCAGGATAGAGTTTCTGGCTCCTGGATTTAGCCTGGTCCAGCCCTGGCTCTTGCGGCCATTTGGAAAATGAACCAATGGATGGAAGATCCCTCTCTGCCTCTGTCTCTCTCTCTCTTGATTGGCCTTTTTTTTTTTTTTTTTAAGATTTATTTATTTTACTTGAAAGTCAGAGTTGCACAGAGAGAAGGAGAGGCAGAGAGAGAGAGAGAGAGAGAGAGGTCTTTCATCCGCTGGTTCACTCCCCAATTGGCCGTCAACAGCCAGAGCTGTGCCAATCCGAAGCCAGGAGCCAGGAGCTCCTTCCAGGTCTCCCACATGGGTGCAGGGGCCCAAGGACTTGGGCCATCTTCTACTGCTTTCCCAGGCAATAACAGAGAGCTGGATCAGAAGCGGAGCAGCCAGGATCCAAACCGGCACCGATATAGGATGCTGGCACTACAGGCGGTGGCTTTACCTGCTATGCCACAGCACGGGCCCCTTGGTCTTTCAAATTGATCAACCAACCATATTTGCTGGTTCATTCCCCAACTGACCTCAACAGCCCCAGTTGGGCCAGGCGAAGGCAAGAGCCAGGAACTCCATCCAGGTCTCATATCGGTGGCAGAGGCTCAAGTTCTTAGTCATCATCCTCTGCTTTCATAGGCCCATTAGCAGGGAGCTGGATGGAAGTGCAGCAGCTAGAACTTGAACCTGTATGTCTACGGAAAGCTGAAGTTACAGGGTGCCACAATGCTAGCCACCCCTCAATCTTTTTTCTTTGTTTAAATATTTATTTATTTTAAAGGCACAGTTACAGAGAGAAAGGCAGAGAGAGACAGAGAAAGAATCCTCCATCCACTGGTTTACTTCCCAAATGGCCTCAGTGACTGGAGATGGGCAGATCCAAAGCCAGGAGCCAGGAGTTTCTTCCAGGTCTTCCTTGTGGGTGCAGGGGCCCAAGCATTTTGGTCATCTGTTGCTGCTTTCCCAGGCACATTAGGCTGGATCAGAAGTGGAGCAGCTGGAACTTGAACCACTGCCCCAGGTTGTGGCTTTGCTAAGTCACAATGCTGGCCCCAATCTTTTTCTTTTATTTTTTTTTTAAGTTAAAATATGGGGCAGGTGTTATGCCGCAATGGGTTAAGCCACTCATTAGGGTGCCCGCATCCCACAGCAGAGTGCTGGTTTGAGTACTGGCTACTCCATTTCCAATCCTGCATTCCTGCTAAGGTATCAGGCAGGCAGCAGGTGATGGCCCAAGTACTTGAGTCCCTGCCATCCACGTAGGAGACCCAGATGGAGTTCTAGACTTTGGCCTGGCCCGGCCTGGCTCTTGTAGGTATTTGTGGAGTGAACCAGTGGAAAATCTGTCTCTCTCTCTCCGTCACTCTGCCTTTTCAAATAAATAATTTTTAAAGATTTATTTTATTTATTTGAAAGACAAAGTTACAGAGAGAGGTAGAGCCAGAGAGAGAGAAGTCTTCCATCTGCTGATTCACTTCCCAAATGGCCACAATGGCCAGAGTTGAGCTGATCCGAAGCCAGAAGCCAGGAGCCTCTTCCAGGTCTCCCACACGGGTGCAGAAGCCCAAGGAGTTGGGCCATCTTCTACTGCTTTCCCAGGCCATAGCAGAGAGCTAGATTGGAAATAGAGCAGCTGGGACTTGAACAGGCACCCATACGAGATGCGGGCACTGCAGGCTGGGGCTTTAACCTGCCACACCACAGCACCAGCCCCAATAAATAAATTTTTAAGTTAAAATCATTGTACAAGTAAAAATTATGTTTTTAAATGATCAAAAATTCAGAGGCTGGTGCTGTGGTGCAGTGGGTTGACGCCCTGGCCTGAAGCACCAGCATCCCATATGGGCACCCATTCAAGTCCTGGCTGCTCCACTTCTGATCCAGCTCTCTGCTATGGCCTGGGAAAGCAGAGGATGGCCCAAGACCTTGAGCCCATGCACCCATGTGGGAGACCCGGAGGAAGCTCCTGGCTCCTGGCTTCGGATTGGTGCAGCTCCGGCCATTGAGGCTAATTGGGGAGTGAACCAGCGGATGGAAGACCTTTCTGTCTCTCTGTCTCTGTCTCTCTCTCTCTCTCTCTCTCTCTGTGTGTCTCCTCTGTGTTCAAATAAATAAATCTTTTAAAAATAATTAAAATATTGCAATTTGAATTTCTGTGATTAGCCTAAGTTTTTTCGTATCTTTAAAAAAGTTTTTCGTCTACTTGAAAGGCAGAGCAACACACAGAGAGAGAGAGAGAGAGAGAGAGAGAGAGAGAGAAAGAATCTTCTATATACTGGCTCACTCCCCAAATGCCCACCTCAACCAAAGCTGAATCAGGCCTTGGTCAGGAGCCTGGAATTCCATCTGAATCTCCCACATGGATGTCAGAGACCCAAGTAACCTGGGCCATCATCTGCTGGCTCCCAGGTGCATTGGCAGGAAGCCAGATTGAAAGCAGAGCAGGTGCCCAGATGTGTTTGGGGGTTATCACAACCCATTGTATTACAATGCCTACCCTTCTTTTCCTATCCTTAATAGCAATTTGTATTTTTCCTGTAGATTACCTGGTTATATTCAGTTTCCCACTGAGGTGTTCTTTGTTCTCATTGATTTGTAAGTGCCTTGCACATATCAAGGATATTAATTCTTTGCCCAGCTTGTAACTGCCGTTTTACTGACGTTTAGTTTTATCTTTTTCTCTATAGACGGTTAAAATTACAATTTAGACATTGCTTGTTCTTACGACGCCTGGGTTTCAAGTGGTCTTGCAGGGCGGTCTCTACCCTGAAGTGAGGGAAATCACCTCCATTTATTCTGGAGCATTTCAGTGTTTCACGATTTGCCAGCAGACTGACAAATGACTGAAAACAAAAATCTGAAAACACTGCTTCATTCAAATAGGCCTGGGACCAAATCAGCTCTAACATCTTGTTTTGTGCCTTTGAAAAAGTTACTTGAAGCCTCAGTTTCTCTTTCTTGTTGGAAAAGTGGGGGCAATGCCCGTTCCCCAGGGGATTAAATGACGCCAAGGATGTAAAGCACCCGGTCAGTGTGAACCCTCCTCCGTAAGGGGCGAGTCTTCCGCGGGCCTTCAGCCCTGTGTCCTAGAACCCAGCACCTCCTCTCACGTGCTCAGGTTTTCCTCCCAGAGACCCACATCGCACACCTGCCTTGTGCTTGTTCCATAGTAAGGGCTGCTCTGCAAAGCTGCGGGAGGGTTGCAGGCAATGCGAAAGAGGGGGACAAACAGCTGAATGGATAATCACTGCACAAGGGCAGTGCGGGGCTCTGGGGGAGTGGCTAGGGAAGGCTCTCCGAGAAGGGGCTATGCGCAGGGCGGGGGTGGGGTGGGGGAGCAGCAGGCGCAGGGACCAAGAGCAATTCCACGAGTGGAGGAGCAGGCAGGTGCGACAGGGAGGGAGAGGCTGGTGGGGAGGAGCTTCTGTGGGTTCATGTGGGGGAACTTCCATTGTATCCTGCACAAGTGGTAGAGAATTTCGGAAGGATTTTCACAAAGGTCAGCTTTACCAAGGTCAGACTCACATTGCCCACAGCTCACTGGGATGGGGTGGGGATGCATGCTCCCAGCCTTAGGGACAGAGATGGACGGATTAGATAGCGCTTAGGAGATAGGACTGGGCTGACATGGGGGAGGTGGGGGAGGGAGGGGGAGGAACACGGCAGGTGCCTGTTGAATACGGGTTAGAAGGACATATGACGTCATATATAGCTTCAGTGCTATTCTGAGCGAGAACAGGGAACCCAGTTTTGGGGAAGAAAGCAAGCACGTTAGAGACGTGAGGAACATGGGAATATCTGAGGCCTGGGGACGGGCTTCGCACAGGTGCCTCAAAGAGGAGAGGGAAAGGACTTCAGATGTGGCAGGCGGCGGGGAGAGTCTGCAGTGGGGGTGCCCTAAGCAGCGAGGCTCCAGGTCGTGCTGGGACAGGTCTGCCTGGCAGGGCGGGTTCACGGCGGTAGGGGGCGCACACGGCCCGGGGCCCGCAGCGCGGGAGGTTGCTGGCCACCCCGGGAGCCTGCGAATCTGGGGAGACCTAGGGTCTTCGGAGGGCGTTTTAGTGCCTCGGATCGGGGCGATGCAGCGCAGGCGGCGGAACCCCCGGAGTCCGGGCTCCATCCGCTGCCCGGCAGCGGCAGCTCGGCTCCTCACACTGCGGCCCTGGAGTCCTCTGGACCTTTCGCGCTTGCCCGGAGACCCGGCTCGGGCCAGCAGCTTGGGGCTGTCCACGGCGGCCCCTGCGGAGGCGGCCCTCGCCCGAGAGCGGCGTTCGCGACCGGGACCGAGGGTAAGGGATGGCCGACCCCGGCGAGGAGGACGAGGACGACCAGGCTGGGCGGGGGTCCCTGGGGCCCAGGATCGGGGATGGGGGGATCGGAGTCTGGAGAGGGGACCAAAGGAGCCACCGTCCAGGACGGGACAGGCAAGCTCCAAACTTCCACCGCCAGTCCCCCAAGGGACACCGTCCAGGAACCGGGCGGGCGGCTCCTTGGAGAGAGGAGGGAAGGGGTCTGCGGGCCAGGAAACCAGATCCGGGGATCGGAGCCGGGCGGGGGGCGGACCGGAGAGTCCAGGCGCGGCGCCCAGGACGCGGGCGAAGGTGGGGACTCCGGAGCGGGTCCGAGACCCAGCCCAAGGTCAGGGCTCCGGGTGGGGCCGCGGGGAGGCGATGGGGCAAGGCCCTCCGGGGCTCCCGGCCCAGCTGGCTTCGGCTCGGGACGGCTGAACTGAGGCACTGCCCGCAGCCGCCCCCGGGGCCCCCCCATCTCTCTTGTTTGTCTCCTAGTCCGGCCGGAACCGGCTTCTGCTCTCCACGGGGCGGGCGGGCGGCTGCTGATTGGTCAATGCCTGTTTCCAGCCCGCATCCAGCCAATCAGCGGGCGGCAGTGTTTTCATCTTGGGGTCGGAATAAAAGGGCTGGAATAAAAGAGGGCAGAAAAGGCTTCGGGCGGGCCCGATACACCCCAGAGGGAGCCGGGTGAGCCGAACGCTGGGGCGCGGGGCCCAGCGGGAGGGCGCGGCGGGCGGGAGCTGTCCCGGAGGGGCGCTGGGAAATGCGTGGATACGAAAGGAAAGGGAGCTGACGGCTAAGGAGCCGCCGGGCAAGAGAGAAGAAAAAGGAGGGAGCTGAGGGGGAGAGGCACGGGGGTCTGCGTCCAGGAAACGGGCTAACTGCAGAGGTACCCGGCAGGCACGGGGGCTCCGCGGCTGGCTCGCGCCGCCGGTTTGAACCGGCTTCGCCTCACCCATGCGGGGTTCGCGTGGCCGCAGCGCCTAGCGACCTAGGCGGCAGCCAATGGCAAGACAGTTCCTGTGCCGTTAGGCCAATGAGCGGGCCCTGGGCGGGCCCTGCCGGCGCTGCGGGCGCTGATCCTGTGGTTGAAGGAACCAGCGCTGGGGAAGGGTCTTCAGTGCGGGCGGGAGGGAGCCGGTCTGGGTCCCTGGGAGTGGCAGCCCCCAGGTGTGCTCCCGCCCAGGTGTCGTCCGGACCTCTAGCTGCCTCCCCTTCCGGCACCCGGGCGATGTCAGTTCTGCTAGGGGCCAGGACTCGTTGCGCGTCACTGAGTGTGCCTTAACCCCTTCCTGCGTTGGTGCCTCAGTTTACCTGGGGGGAGCTGAGAGAGGAGTCTCCCTGCCGGGCCAGGGCGGTGCAAGCGAGGCGGAGGGCAGCGGTACGAGCCGGCGGCGGTGTGGGGGCGGTGCAGGTGCCGGGAAGGGCTGCGGGTTGTTTCCGTGACTGCGCGCACCTCCAGCCGGGGCTGCGGAGGGGTGACAACCCGCGCCCGGCGGCGGCGGCGGCGGCGGCCTGGGGCGGCCGCGAGGGCTGCGCAGGGCGGCGCTGACGCTGAGGTCTGTGAGCAGGTGGCTGCGGAGCCGAAGCGGGAGTGGGAGCCAGAGCCGGGGCCGGGGCCGGGGCCGGGCCGCCGCACCGCGCTGCACCATGGCGCCCACCCTGGCCACTGCCCATCGGCGCCGCTGGTGGATGGCCTGCACCGCCGTGTTGGAAAACCTCCTCTTCTCGGCAGTTCTCCTGGGCTGGGGCTCGCTGCTCATCATGCTCAAGTCGGAGGGCTTTTACTCCTACCTGTGTACTGAGCCAGGTGAGACCAGCGCCTCGGGCGGGGTGGGGGTGGGGGGCTGGGTGGTGGCGGAGACCGGCATGGGCTGCAGGTATCAGAGGCCCATCGGATCACCACCCAGCCCTGTCCTTGTCTGGTGAATGCAGAGGCTGAGGCCCAGGCGGGGGAGGGGGGAGGGAGTCCTGTGCTAGACCCAGAACCCCCAGCCCAGGGCTCTTTCTGTCCCCCGGGAGCACGGCTGGCTTCCTCTCCTCTCCTCCCGTGCCTGTGACGTCCTCCCCTTGCAGCGTGATTGTAAGAAAGAGGAACCCTGATTCAGGGGCTGGGGTGCAGCCGACAGGAAGTGGCTTTGCCTCCACCGCAAGGAGGGGGCCTTTTTCGGGCAGGCCATCATGCAGCCTGCTGAGGCCTTGCCGGATGCTCACTCATCTGTTTTTGCTGCTTTATGATTCTCCAAAGGCTGTCTCCTCCAGGCCGTGGCAGCACCCCGGGGAGCCCTCAGGCCTGGTGGGGAGGATAGGGAGGGGGACGATGATTCGGGGGTGGTTCCCTTGTCCTTGCCACACCACTGGTGTTGCTGGAAGCAGGCTCAGGATGCCATGGAAAATCTGCCCCCACCCCTAGTCTTCACCCCCCCCATTTGGCTGGAGGACTGAGGCGGCACCCCCACCCTACAGCCTCTCCCTGCCCCCACAGGGGCTGCCTTGTCGTTGACCTCACTCACCCCCCTTCCCGCACATGAGCCCCCTGAGATGGGCACAGCCCAGGTGGGACCCCCTGAATCACCAGCTGCTTGCCTTTTCTTTCTAGAGTTTTCATCCCATGGGCAGAGACAGCTGTGGGCCCCTCCTGCTGGAGGTGCCCAGCGGGCTCCTGCGTGGTGGCTTCCAGCAGGCCTAGCAGGAGAGGTGAAGGGCCAGAGAGAGGGCAGGAATGCGGAGGCCGCCCAGGAGAGGGCAGAAAGTATATGGTTTATAACCAACCTTTAGCCTTTAGCCACTCAAAAATATTTCCTAATAGCCCAAGGGTTCTTGGCAGGCCTTCCCTCACATCAGCAAGAAACGCGGGCGATGGGAGTCAGACCTTGTTCCCTGAGCCGGCTTTCTGTTTCGCTCCAGAGATGGTGGGAGATTAATGGCTCTTCAGAAGGAACAGGTTGGAGTGTTTAGTTGTTCCCCTCTTCAGGCTGCACCGAAGGCGCAGCACACGGCAGAGTGCCTCTGTCCCCACTCAGGGCCTCTGTACCTCAGCAGACCAGAGACTGTTGTGGTTGGAGGTCTGGTTTTTCCTTACGAGCCAGCGTGGTGTTGGGAAGGTGATCTCTCCCCCTCGGGCCACCGGCTTGGTTGACTGTGCTGTGGGCTGCAGTGGGCACTTGCCTGCCGTGGCCATCTAGGCTCGCTCCTCCCTGAGTGGGAGCAGTGCCGGCGGGAGGCTGGCAGGCCACTTCTGAGCCAGAGTGAAGGCGAAGGGTCGGGATGCGGGTTGAACATCAACTCCTTATCCCGTGCCTTTGCCCGGCCTCTGATTTTGGTTTTCCTGATTATCTGGCAAAGGCGCTGAGCCAGCCTCCCAGCAGGAAGACCTGCTGAGTCCACACAGCTTATCTCTCTGGCCTCCTGCTCCCTGCTTCTTGGAGTCCGTGGAACCTGTTGTCTTTCAGGGCCAGAGCCTACCCAGAGCGCCTGGCAGTCAGGGTTCAAGCTCGGTGCGTGGCAGAGAAACGGCCAGGCCATTTGTTGAGCTGATTGAATTAGGCGTGTGGCCAGCCCGGTGCACGCAGCTGATTGGGATGCAAACGCTCAGCTCTTGCCTGCTTTGGGGACGGATGCTTGAGTTTGCTCAATAAAGAACATTCCCGGGAACCTGTTGAAAGGTTCTCGGAATTCTTTTCTGGGGGCTCCAGCCAGAATCTGGCCGCCAGCTCTGTTGGGTTGCAGGCCTGGTGAGGGCCCTCATTCCTGTGGCCCCATGGCTTGCCTTGCCTTTGCCCACCAGACAGTTGGGAATGGGGCGGGGGCTCTGCTGGGGAGCAGGGGTGATGCCCTGCAGCTGCTGGCTGCTGCCATCTGCCCATCCCCCCCGCCCCGCTCTGCAGAGGAGATGGACGGGGGGCCCCCGGCCTAGAGGGGCACAACTTTCCCACGGCAGTGTCCTCGGACCCCTGGGACAGCCAGTGAAACCACCCATGCCTGACCTGTTCGTTTTCTTTGCTGTCCAGTGGGCCACTTGGACGTCAGCTCAGAGGGATGGGGCTGCCTGAGGCTGTGCCCTCTCCTCTTCCCTGCAGCCCACACGTTCCAGAAACGCGCGTGCCGAGGAACTGTGCAGCGCAAATAAGGCCTCACACACAGACTCGCCGAGCCTGAGTGGGGGTCTGCGTGCCTGGAGGTGGGAGGGCCCCTGGTGCTTAGGCAGAAGCCTGGAGGATGCCCAGGGAGAGGGCAGCGCTGGGGAGGCAGGGGAGGGCACCTGGTGCTTAGACAGAAGCCTGGAGGATGCCCAGGGAGAGGGCGGCGCTGGGGAGGCAGGGGAGGGCACCTGGAGCTGGGAGTTGGGATTTTATTCTCAGGGCAGGAAGGAACCTGGAGGAGACTCATGCATTGTGGGGGACTTGCCACGAGCTGGCTTTGGGGGGCTGCGCTCTGAAGGTGGCATTGTCACGGCCCCGTCAGAGGAAGTCCCCGTCTAGCCTCGGCCACTGCAGTCACTGGACCTCTGGTGGTGGGAAGCACACCTCTCAGCCTGACACCAGGCAGGAAGTGGGGGTGGAGGGCCTGCGGGCGGGCCAGGCTGCGTCTTGGACAGTTCCTGCCGCGGCCAGGCCGTCTTCCCTACCCGCAGCCAGAGGGCGGCATCTTTTGAAAAAAAATCCCACCTTTCATCTTGACTTCTGTGAAAGTGTTTACTTCTTTCCCCCGGTTTATTGCTGTGAACCAGAGGGTCTCAGCTGGTGCCCTCAGCCTCGGCTCCCCCACCCGCCTGCCTTCTTCCTTTTTGCTTTCATGGCCTAATTCCCCTCCCCCCATCCCTCGGCCTCTCTGACTTGTTGGCATCTATCTGTCTGGCTTGGGTTGGCTTTTGGGGCCCTCATGGGAGGCCACAATCAGTCCTGTCCTCAGTAGACAGTACTAAAGCCATGACACCAAGGGGCGGCCTTTCCTGGCTGCATGCTCTCTGCCACCCCCACTGTGTCTGCACAGCCTAGAGGTCAAGAGCAGGGCCTTTTTGGGCTGTGGATTCAAGCCCAGCTCCCCCCAGCTGCTATCCGCTAGCAGCTCACCTGCTGTGCCACACCCGTAGCCCCATGTGGATCGCGGGGCAGTGGCAGGAGGGCACTAAGTGACATGGGCAACAAGTTCCCTCTGGCATCCTGCCAGCGGTAGCCGCTGCCACCGAGCCCACGGTGAGGGCCCAGGCGCTCCCAGTGCCTGCTCTGTGCCTGAGCCGACCTCTCACCTACATCCCTGAGCGGCCTGAGATGCCGCTTCCTGTTGCCGGATAGACCGAAGACTTGAGAGAGACAGGGGCAGGTGCCATTGGCAGGGCAGGCCAGGGGCGCCTGGCCCAGGCGGAAGGACACTCGGAGAGCAGCCAGAGGAGGGGGCTGCTCGGGACTCGGGGCCGCACCAGCCAGCCGTCCCGGAGGCTCCCCACCCTCTCTGCTCTCCCAGGCCGAGGAAGCCCCCTTTGACGCAGAGGGCAGCCAGAGCAGGCTTGCAGCGCCCTCTTTTCTCCCCCTGCTTCCTCTGTGAAGTTCTTGTTTGTGAGTCTCCTGTGAGCGGGGTGAACAGTACGAGGCATTGTTCTCTCTCCCTGCGGCGCGCTCCTGTTCTCAGCACCCTCTGGCCGCTCCACTTCTCAGTCTGCCCTGCTGGGCTGGGCTGGGCTGGGCCGGGCGGGGCTGGGCTGCTCTGGCCGCCCACTGCGGGAGCATCTATTTAATAAACAGGTGTAGGTGAGGAGCTGAGCAGGCCAGGATGGGGCGGGGGCCGAGCACGAAGCCAGGAGCAGAGGGCACCCTGGGGCTTGGCACTTCCTGGGTGCTTATCTGTCTCCTGGGCCAGGATGGCCAGGGGGAGGCGGGGGGGGGGGGCCTGGTGTCACAGTGTTTCGGCATCTGTTAGGGCTGTTTACTGCCAACACAGCTCTGGGCTCAGCAAAGGCTGAGCTCCCTCCAGGGGCAAGTGATGCTCTGGGTCCCCCTGGCCCCAGGCTCATCTGTGGCTAGGAATGAATGAATGCCTGGAGGCAGGAGGCAGAGGGCCAGTTGGCCACCCCAGCGAGTTGTTTAAGGAGAAGGCATGTGGCCTAGAGCAGTCCCTGCTCCTGTGTGGAGTGGCTCCAGGATGAAAAAGGAGAGGGCAGGTCACCCACAATGACTGCTCTTCCAGAGACCCCCGTCCGGTGGCGGGGGCGACCAGATGGCTCAGCGGCATAAGCCCCACCACCCCCATGTCGGCCTTGGGCACGTCAGGGAGACCGCCCTGGGTACGCTGCCTTAGAGTTTCATCTTCCGGCTCCTCGTGAGACACTGTGGATTTAGGAGCGTGGCCGGGCCCCGGTGCGCACTCAGCCCCTGCTGCCTCACCCCCACAGCTCCCTGCTGGCAGTAGCCGGGCCGGCTTATGCAATAACTGGCTCCAGACCCTGCCTGCCCACAATGAGGTCCCTCCAGCTGGCCACCCTGGGCCCTGGAGCGCCCTTTCCACCTCTCCACTCTGTTGCCTCTGTGCTGTTTTTGCTCACATCTGCACACTAACCTGGAAATGGCCATGGCTGTGCGGCGACCCCATCCCCACTCCAGACCCAAATTCTGATGCTGTAGCCCCACCTGTGAAAGGGCTCTCCCTTTCTAGAAACTGCCGTGCCGGGGGAAAGCAGGCGGCCTGGGCCTGCTCGCCGAGGCATTGCACATGACGTTCTGCACTGTGTCCTGATGGGTGCAGGGGCCCACAGGCCTTGAATCTCAGTGTGGCGGGGCCTCTCTAGAAAGAGAAAGTGGTGGGGACAGGAATCGGGCCTGTTAGGTTTTGTTTCTGTGGCTTCAGGCAGTTTACTGTGGTTCTAATGCCCGCTCAGTCCCCTCCATCCTCCATGTAGTTCTGTTCGTCCTGTTTCCTTTCCTCTCTCTTGAGCCCTTTGGCCATTGTGATCTGGTTCCGTTGTTCTCATTCGTAATTAGCCAGTGTGGGCCAGGGCCTGGGTGAGGTGTGGGGACACAGAGGAACCCAGTCCTTGCCCTGCCACCCCTGCAGCCCTGTGGGAGACCAGAAACATCCACCACACAGTTGTAAAGTAGTTCATCCAGCCACTGCATCTGGCTCTGCTGCCAGAGAGTTGCACCATTCCCCCCGTCCTGGGACTCCCAGAGCAGTAATAATAATAGCGACGACTTTTAGCTATTAGTTTTGGGCACTGTCTCTGCCTGTGTGAGCTCTAGAGTGTTACTGCATTTTCTCATTGATCTTCCCCCAAACTCTAGGAGGTGGACATTGCTGTGCCCATTTTACAGATAAAGAGACTTACATAGAGCAAGATGAAGGCACTCTTCCAGGGTTACACAAAGAGAAAGTGGAAGAACCAACACTGGAACCAGAGGCCAGGTCCTGGCAGTGCACTCCCAGCCAGCATGCCTCCGGCAGGGCTTCTTGGGCAGAGGTTGGCGTATGGCATGAATCACCCCTGGGGCATTCTTTTCGGTGACCTTGGGGCTGCTCCTGAAGCCTAGGCAAGCCTTTGCAGACCTCAGCTTTACAGCCCTGGCGCCAGAGTGCTGCAGTCGCGAGGCAGGCACTTATCAGAAGAGAAGCACTTCCTCGCCTCTCCCAGTGCAACTTGCTTCTAATCAAAGTCTCAGCTGCTGCAGGATTAGTCAGCACCTCTTAACTAGCAGCCCCAGCCGGGTGAGAGGCCTCCGCCGCCTTCCGAGCCTCCCGCCCGCAGCTGCCGCAGCACTTTTCCCTCCTTGTCAGTAGTTTCGGTGCTGGGTCAACTTCGGAAGGGGCCTTTGGGGCTGGAATCACGGCACAGTGGGGCCTACACTACCAGGCGTGGAAGCTCAGCAGCCAGCAGGGTCTAGGCACGGTCACAAGGACAGTACCGCAAGGACCCCAGTGAGGAAACTGGGAGAGGTACACCTCCAAGGGGAAGCTTGTTAACACACCCTCCCAAAGGGGTTCTAGAATGTGGCACGTCCGGGGGTTGCTACCACGGGAAAGCCCAGGCGGGGGACATGGCAGCCAGTGGGCTGTTCTGTGTTGGGAGGAGGCAAGGAGGCCCACACAGTCTCCACACACCAACCGGGGAGACCAGCAGCGTGTGCGTCCCTTATGGTCTGGAGTCTGCCTCAGTTTCCACGGACAGAGCTGCCGAGGTCCACGGCTCCAGGGTGTGGGTTCTCCAGAAGGGGGATCCCAACCCAGGCTCTGCGGTGCTTTGAGGGACAGTGTGGTCCAGCAGGAGTGCAGCTGTCTTCCTGGGATTCTCCAGAGGCTCATGTTGTGACCCCAGGGCTTGGGCCAAAGCCTGCTGCGGGGCTGCTTGCACGCCCCGTGAGAGGACGGTGAGTGTGCACCTGTTCTGCTGACCTCTGGAGGTCCCTGCCTTGACCCTGTGGTTTGGTTTCACTCCCTTTGCACCCAGAGAACATCTCCAATGCCACGACTGGGGGCACCACAGTGCCTGAGCACGAGGAGGTGAGCTGGATGAACGGCTGGCTCAGTTGCAAGGCCCAGGACGAGATTCTAAACTTGGCCTTCACCGTGGGCTCCTTCCTGCTCAGTGCCATCACCCTGCCCCTGGGCATCGTCATGGACAAGTATGGCCCAAGGAAGCTCAGGCTGCTGGGCAGGTCAGTGGGGGTTCCTTGGATGTGGGGGGTGGGTGGACAGGGGCGAACCCTGAGCTAAGTTCTTCCTGTTGGGAATCCTAGTACCCGCCCCCTGGTATACTGCGGCGCTCCCTACATGCCCACTCAGAGTGGGGTCTGCATTACCAGGAAGCTGGGGGCTTTGCCCCATCTGCCACCTGAGTGGTAGGTACTGTGACCCTCTCAGTGTGCCAGCACTGCATAAAAAGCACAGGACGCCAGGCCCACCTTGGCCACCTTGGGGCCCCTGGAGTTGCTGGTCACTGAGGGTCCTGGGCTCAAGTCTGGGCTTACTCCCCAACCAGAACAAGGGATTTTGAACGTGTATCTCTGGGATAAGCATACGAAGTTTTAAATGATATATACTTATGCCATTCTTTTCTTAAGTTAATTTTTTTTGTTAGAGAGAGAGACAGAGAGAAAGGTCTTCCTTTTCCGTTGGTTCATCCCCCAAATGGCTGCTGCGGCTGGCGTGCTGCGCCGATCCAAAGCCAGGAGCCAGATGCCTCCCCCTGGTCCCCCATGTGGGTGCAGAGCCCAAGCACTTGGGCCATCCTCCACTGCACTCCCTGGCCACAGCAGAGAGCTGGACTGGAAGAGGGGCAACCGGGACAGAATCTGGCACCCAACCAGGACTAGAACCCGGTGTGCCGGCGCCACAGGTGGAGGATTAGCCAAGTGAGCCGCAGCGCCAGCTTTCTTAAGTTAATTTTTAAGAAATCTATTGAGGGGCCTGCGCTGTTGGCATAGGGGTAGGGCTACCACCTGCAGCGCTGGCATCCCATATGGGTGCCAGTTCAAGTCCTGGCTTCTCCACTTCTGATCGAGCTCTCTGCTATGGCCTGGGAAAGCAGTGGAATATAACCTGAGTGCTTGGGGCCTCTGCACCTGCGTGGGAGACCTGGAAGAAGCTCCGGCCATTACGGTCATTTGGGGGAGTGAACCAGAGGTAAGATTCTTTTCTCTCTCTGTCTCTCCTTTTCTCTCTCTCTAACTCTGCCTTTCAAATAAATAAATAAATCTTAAAAAAAAAAAAACAAAAAACTATTTGAGAAGCAGAGAGACACAGAGACAGACAAGAGAGCTCCCACGTGCTGGTTCACTTCCCGGTTGCCTGCAGTGGCTGGGACTGGGGCCGGGACTGGGTCAGAGCTGAAGCCAGGAGCCAGGAGCCAGGAACTCAGTCCAGGTCTTCCATGTGGGTGGCAGGAACCCAAGCACTTGAGCCACTTCCTGCTGCTGCTTGGGGTCTGCATTAGCAGGAACCTGGAGTCAGGAGGCAGAACTGAGCATTTACCTATCTGAACCCACGTCTCAGCTGCTGGGCAACCACCCACCCCCAGCTGTGCATTGTTAGTGTTTTGTGTGCTTCATATGAGGGTATTTTAAAAAGTTAGTGGGAAATGAAATTAAAGGATAAGTTTGTTTCGGTGCAGATTCTGAGATCCAGGCATCATTTTTTTTTTTTTTTTTTTTTTTTTTCAGGCAGAGTGAACAGTGAGAAAGACAGAGAGAAAGGTCTTCCTTTTTGCCGTTGGTTCACCCTCCAATGGCCGCCAAGGCCGGCGCACCACGCTGATCCGATGGCAGGAGCCAGGTGCTTCTCCTGGTCTCCCATGGGGGGCAGGGCCCAAGCACCTGGGCCATCCTCCACTGCACTCCCTGGCCACAGCAGAGGGCTGGCCTGGAAGAGGGGCAACCGGGACAGAATCCGGCGCCCCGACAGGGACTAGAACCCGGTGTGCCGGCGCCACAAGGCGGAGGATCAGCCTAGTGAGCCGCGGCGCCGGCCGGCATCATGTTTTCATAGTATGCGTTTTCTGTGAGGGTTCAGAAGACCCCTCACGCATACACACAAACACAAGTTAAAATGGGCGAGATAAAGACATTAGAAAATGGAAGTTCTGTTGCATCAGCGTTGCTGTGGCTCACCGCGTGCAGCCCCTGGAGTACATGGGTGCCACTGGTCTGTGCAGCTCTAGGCTGCCAGGCTCAGGTCAGCTCGCCAAGCAACTGGCCCTCCCATGCTGAGGGCCTCGCAGCCCTGCCCCCCTGGAATGATACCCTTGCAGGGCAGGTTGAGGCCTGAAGGCAGCTGGTGGCGGATCCTTTGCATTTGCTCTTTGAAGTTGAAGAGGCTTTGGTTTCCTGGGGCAGAACCAAGTGGAGGGCAGAGTTCGGGGAGCAGCCTCTCATCTCCCCCTGCCCATGGGGCTCTGCTCACACCTGGTGGAGTGGGCACAGGATTTAAGGTTTATTTATTTGGCCGGTGCCGTGGCTCACTAGGCTAATCCTCCGCCTTGCAGCGCCGGCACACAGGGTTCTAGTCCCGGTCGGGGCGCCAGATTCTGTCCCGGTTGCCCCTCTTCCAGGCCAGCTCTCTGCTGTGGCCAGGGAGTGCAGTGGAGGATGGCCCAGGTGCTTGGGCCCTGCACCCCAAGGGAGACCAGGAGAAGCACCTGGCTCCTGCCATCGGATCAGCGTGGTACGCCGGCTGCAGCGTGCCGGCCTTGGCGGCCATTGGAGGGTGAACCAACGGCAAAAGGAAGACCTTTCTCTCTGTCTCTCTCTCTCACTGTCCACTCTGCCTGTCAAAAAATAAAAAAAAAAAAATTAAAAAAAAGGTTTATTCATTTATTTGAAAAGCAAAGTGACAGAGAGATGGAGAAAGAGAGAGAGATAGATTGATTTTATCTGCTGGTTCACTCCCCAAAAAGCCACAATTGCCTGGGCTGTGCCAGGCTGAAGCTAGGGGTCAGAAGTCCATCCTGGCCTCCTATGTGGGTAGAGGGGCCCAAGCACTTGGGCCATCCTCCACTGCTTTCCTAGGTGCATCAGCAGGGAGCTGGATCAGAAGTTGAGCAGCCAGAACTCTTAACTGGTGCCTGTATGGGCTGCTGGTGCTGCAGGTAGCAGCTTAACCCACGGTACCACAATACCAGCTTTTTGTATTTGCTTTTTTAAAATGAGATTTATTTCCTCATCAGTAAAAGGAGCCAATTATCTTCTTAGAATTATTGAAGTGTAATTGTTCTGAAAACATCTGATACATAGTCAACACCCAGTGATGTAATGATATTTTGTTCTTGCTTGGTTTTAGCGCCTGCTTTGCTGTCTCCTGCTTGCTGATCGCATATGGAGCCAGTAACCCCAACTGTAAGTGTGCTCCCCACCCCCCCCCCGGCAGGGACTGGCGAGAGGGTGGCCAGAGGGGCTGCAGGCCCAGCAGCAGCTCTCGGATGCCGTACTGAACCCGGTGCTCACTGCCCGCGCTGGGGGACCCGGCAGGCCTTTGCTCCGTTGTCCACCTCAGGCGGGTGGCCGGGTCAGAGGGCCGCGGCCCCAGACAAGTCTGCTGAGAGCTCCCAGAGTGTATGAAGCCCCCACCTCCCTGCCAGGCCCAGCCGGGCCCTGGCAGCTTCCACGATGCCAACCGAGGGTGGTCCTGCCCAGGCCGGAAGGGCCACTGGTCCTCGGCCCTGCTCAGGTGCGGCTGGCTTCAGGGACTTGGAGAACAGACTCCAGTGTCTCACCAACGTCTCTGCCAGGCCTGTCCACTGAGGGTTTTTTTTTTTTAGTGCAAACACAAACACATAATGCAGTGTGATTGCCTTAATTTTAAAAGGCAGGTCAGGCAGGGTTTATGGTAGGGGGAGGCTCAGGAATGAAGTGGCTGGGACAGGGACCGCCAGGAGAGTGCTCTCACCAACCCTCCCTTCCCATCGCTGGCTCTCCCCCACCCCACAAGGGAGGGGACACCCACGTAAGCTGGAGGCAGGGGCTTGGGCCAGGCCCCTGGGCTAGGCCTCCCCATCTCACCAGGCCTGTCACTCAAGGGCCAGCTCCTCTCCAGACTTTTGGGACTCTGTATTTCAGTTTCAGAGAAGCAGCTTTAGGCCTCGTGCTTGCAGCTAAGGGTGGTGGGAAGAGGGCACGAGCGTGCACCTTTGTCCGAGCCCGGGCTCCTGCAGGATGCAGGAGGGGAGCGTGAGGAGAGGCCCCCAGGTGGCAGGCACTGGTGCTCGCTGGCTTGTCATTCATTCGGGCTGTGTTTCCTGGGGGCCTGCTCTGTGTGGGCGCCGGGCCGGGCCCGGCCCCGGCCTCCTTCTCGGAAGCTCAGCTGTGGCACCTGGCTTCTGAGCTGTCTGTGTTTCCCCCCAGCTCTCTCTGTGCTCATCTTCATCGCCCTGGCTCTGAACGGCTTCGGTGGGATGTGCATGACCTTCACCTCGCTGACGGTAAGGAGTGATTGTGCTAAGCTCTCTAGTTCTGTGAGCTGCTTGTGGATTTCAGGCAGCCTTCACTGGTTTCCATTTGCTGCGTGTGCCCAGACATCCCAGGCAGCACCAGGGCCATGGTGAAGTGGCCTGACAGCAAAGCTGGTGGCAGCCTTGGGGGCAGGGACCTCCTGGGTGTGACTCAGATCCGCACCCTCAGGAGACAGGAGCAAGGGGACAAAGGCTGCCACTCACTTTCTCTTTTCCGGGGCCAGTGTCACCATGGTCTCCGGGAGCTCTGCCGCCCCAGCCCACCTGTGCCTGCCTGCAGGGAGAGCCCCTGGGCTGCCCGTTCTTGCTTGCCACGTGCGGGGCACAGACAGCTGCTGGGGATGGCGGCGTCTCCTTGGGCTGCTGAGCACTGCCTTCTCTGGAGCTCTGGGATGCGGGAAATGTGCTGCCTTCTTAAAAAAATATTTATTTTAAAGGCATAGAGAGAGAGAGATTTTTCATCTACTGGTTCACTCTCCAAATGGCTACGACAGCTGGGGCTGGGCCAGACCGAAGCCAGGAGCCTGGAACTCCATCCAGGTCTCCCACACGGGTGTCAGGGGCTCAGGAACCCAAGCCATCCTCCGCTGCTTTCCCAGGTGCATTAGCAGGGAGCCAGGTGGGCAGCAGAGCAGCTGGGACTTAAAGTGGTGCTGTGACATGGGGTGCTGGTGTCACAGGTTGAGGTTTAGCCCGCAGTGCCACAACGTGGGCCCCAAAATGCGCTGCTTTTTGCGATGACGGAGGCTGAGGAGGGCTCAGCTGGGAAGCAGACAGGTCAGAGGAGGAGCAGAACGGCTTCCTGAGGGAGGAAGGCGGCGTCTGCGGGCTCGCCGAGCGGGGCAAGGCTGCCGCTCCAAGTCAGCTGCTGGGAAAGAAGGAAGCCGAGTGCACGTGCCTCCAGTGGGGAGAGCTTGCCTGCAGTTAAGGCAGCACCTGGCATCAGACCCACAGTGTGCTGTGGCCGCTGGTTTCCTCGTCTCGCAGCTGAGGGGCCCTTGTTTTACTTTATGGGGCCCTGGGGACTTTGGCCCTCTTCTCGAAAGGCGCTGGAGAGGTGCTGGCTCCTGTGTGACCCAGCTGGCTGCGAGCTGGAGGCCAGCCCGGGCCCAGCGTCTTCGGGCTCGCGTCCCCGTGCCTTGCCTTGTTGCCTTAGTCCTGGCGGGAAGGATTGGCTGTCTGGGTCTGGATCCGTGGGTGTGGACAGTTGGGTGCCGTGTGCGTGGGTGAGAGACTCTCCGTGCAGGGCGGCCGGTGGCTCCTCAGGGTGTGCGTGACCCCGAATCTGAGCTCCGTCGCTGTGCTGTGCTGGTGCTGCCGTCCAGTTCTTTCCTGCGGTCTGGGGCACTCTGAGCCTTCGGTTTTTAGCCAGGTCGATTGAAAAGAAAGATGGGTATGTCCCTCCTCTCTCAAGTTCCCAGAGGAAGGCAGATGTTGAAACTGAAAGCTCTGTTCAAACCGTCAAACATGCACAAATTCCAATAAGCGTGACAGTTGTGAAACGGGAGTCGTGGTTCTGCTTGTTCTTGGGCAACGAAAACCACACGGTCTTCCATCAGGAGGAAGAGTGCGGGGCTGGCGTCTCCCTGTCGTGTCGGTCACGCGGTGCCTTGTCAGGGATAAAGAAATGAGATGGTCCTTGGTGTGTGGGTTTTTTTTTTTTTTTTTTAGATTTACTTTATTTATTTATTTGAAAAGCAGAGAGAGAAAGATCTTCCATCTGCTGGTTCATTCCCCCAGATGCCCGCAACAGCCAGGGCTGGATCATCAGGCTGATGGCAGGATCCCAAAACTCAGTCCAGTCTCCCACATGAATGGCAGAGCCCAAGCACTGGGCCATCAGTGCCCCCTCCCAGCAGGCACATTCGCAGGCAGCTGGGCCAGAGGTGGAGGAGCCAGGACTGGCACCAGCACTCCTGTGGGCGATGCTGAGCCGCTGTGCTGTGGCAGCTGCTCCTGTAGACTTGGCTTGTGCTCTGAAGTACAGAAAGGTGCTTTTCATGATCAAGTGAGGAAAACCAGCATCCACGACCCACTGGAGAAAGCCACGAACGTGAACTCTGAAGTTTGCCCAAGAAACTTTTAGGAGTGACTAGTAGGCCCCTAAGGATTCTTTGCCTCTTTTCACTTTTTATGATTATGAAATAAAAATGACTTCATTTGAGAAATCCAGAATTTCATAAATATCAAGTATGGATTATAAAATTATGTAAACCTACCTTAATCAGTTTGGGGTATATCCCATCAACATTTTTTTTAAAGATTTATTTATTTATTTGAAAGAGTTACATGGGCGGGGCGGGGGGGAGAGGCAGAGACAGAGAGAGAGGTCTTCCATCCGCTGGTTCACTCCCCAGTTGGCCACCAACAGCCGGAGCTGCGCCAATCCAAAGCCAGGAGCCAGGAGCTTCCTCCAGGTCTCCCACGCAGGTGCAGGGGCCCAAGGACTTGGGCCATCCTGCACTGCTTTCCCAGGCCATAGCAGAGAGCTGGATTGGAAGTGGAGCAGCTGAGACTTGAACTGGCGCCCATATGGGATGCCAACACTGCAGGCGGCGGTTTTACCCTCTGCAGCACAGTGCTGGCACCCCATCAGCATTTTTTAAAAATCATTTTTCTTTGTTGAACTGTTATAACTTGCTTTTTCATTTACTGTATCTTTTATATCTTTTCCTGCCAGTATGTAGAGACTCTCCTTGTTTGCAAAGACTCTAGAGAGCGGCCCCGTTGTTAAGCATTACACGTTATTCTAGAAGGCTGATGCACCACCATCTGTTCAGCTAGTTCCTCCTAATGGACGCTGGGGTTGTCTTCCAGTTTCCCCCGTTTAGGAGCGCTGCTGAGGCGGGTCTCCCTGTCTGTGCATTTTTGTAAAATAAATTCCTGGAGGTAGAACTGGGGCCACAGGCTCAGCTTTGGACACAGCATGTGCTGTCACACGGACGGTCTTCCGCACAGGCTGTGCGCTGATCCAGGCCAACCAGCATGCAGGAGAGGGCTTTGCTTTTCTGTTAAGATTTATTTTATTTATTGGAAAGGCAGAGTCACACAGAGACAGAGAGAGACAGAGATAGCTTCTGTCTGTTGGTTCACTCCCTTAATGGCTGCAACGGCTAGGTCTAGAGCGTGCCAAAGCCAGGTGCTAGGAGCTTCTTCTGGGTCTCCCATGTGGGTGCAGGGACTCAAGTACTTGGGCCATCCTCCAGTCAGACGTGGAGCAGCACAGACCCAAACTGACGCCCATATGGGATGCCAGTGTTGCCGGCGGCGGCTTTACCCACTGCTCACAGTGCCAGCCCCAGGAGAGGGTTTTCTCAAGAGCTCCCTGGAACCAGACCTTTCATCTTTTGAACATTAGCCCATTTGATCTGGTGGAAAATGAGGTGCCTTTTTTTTTTTTTTTTTAAACATTTGTTTATTTGAAAGTCAGATGGCCGGTACCGTGGCTCACTTGGCTAATCTGCCTGCGCTGCCGGCACCCCGGGTTCTAGTCCTTGTTGAGGCGCTGGATTCTGTCCCGGTTGCTCCTCTTCCGGTCCAGCCCTTTGCTGTGGCCGGGAAGGCAGTGGAGGATGGCCCAAGTGCTTGGGCCCTGCACCCCATGGGAGACCAGGAGGAAGCACCTGGCTCCTGGCTTCGGATCGGCGCAGCGCACTGGCCACAGTGCACCAGCCATAGCAGCCATTTGGGGAGTGAACCAACAGAAGGAAGACCTTTCTCTCTCATTGTCCAACTCTGCCTGTAAAAAAAAAAAAAAAGAAAAAAAGAAAGAAAGAAAGAAAAGAAAAGAACTATACACAGAGAGACAGAGAGATCTTCCATCTCCTGGTTCACTCTCCAGATGGCCATAATGGCCAGGGCTGAGCCAGACCAAAGCCAGGAGCCAGGAGCTTCTTCCGGGTCTCCCATGTGGGTGCAGGGGCCCAAGCACTTGGGCCGTCCCCCACTGCTTTTCTCAGGCTCATTAGCAGGGAGCTGGATCGGAGCAGCTGGTACTTGAACCGGTGCCCATATGGGAGGCGGTGGCCTTACCCACCATGCCACAGTTCAGGCCCCATTATTTTTTAACAATCTTTTAACTATTAGCAACATGGAGCATCTTTTCATTTCCTTCCTGGTCATTTGTATTTCTTCTGTGAATTGCTTCTTTTTATCATTTGTCTATGTTTTTAGAGTCCTTTTTTATGATTTGTAAGAGTTCTGTTAAGTGTAAAGAAACTAGCTGTCTTTCTGAGTGAGCAAGGGGTCTTACCCTAGCATTTTTAAGCCACTTTGTGGTCCATGATTAGGCTTCATGAGGGCTGTGTACTCCCTTAAAATGAAGTGAATTTGACAAAATGTTGAAAAGAATTGTAAAATAATAATTTTTTTAAAAAATGTTTAAAATAATGGACATTGTAAAAAAAAGTATGCGAAGGTACTTCAAAATGTTCTTAGAAAATACCTATTGTGGAAAAATCATGCATGGATTTCACATTTTTGCACCAAAACAAACATCTTAATGACCTGTTTGTGTGAGCTTTCCAAAGTCCCCTGGAATGTGCTGCTCAGGTGCGTTTTTCTGGAGGGAGGGGTCACTGCCTCCAGCAGCCTCCCCCAGGTCTGTGTCAAGACTGAGAGCTGGCAGCAGGTCATTTGTGTTAGCTCCTGGCTGTCCTGCTGCGAGCTGAAAAGTTACAGAGGCCACATGGGACTGGGCAGAACATCCTCTGATCATCTAGCGCACTTGGTTGCTAGGGATCTGTTTCAGGGAGGCCGTGGCTTGTTCTTCAAGCCGTGGGATGTGGCTCAGGGGTCAGCAAATGGCCAGACCCAGACCACTGCCTGTTCTTGTAAACAAAGTGTCACCGGAACACAGCCATGCCTACTGCTTGCGTGTTGTTTATGGAAGCTGTGACGAGAGACCTCGTGGCTTCACGAGCCTGCAGGATTGACTGTCTGGTCTCCTGGCCCTTTATGGAGAACGTTGG